CCCCACCCCCCCCCCACAAAAGGAAAGGAAGGGTGTATATATGTATTTATACAGATTAAAGTGAGTAAACAAATTGATTTTGGATGCTTCCAGTGAAACCTAACAGTTTCCAAGGCCAACTGTTGGAAAAGTACAATCCATCCGTAGAAGGCAAAAAAACAAAAACACAAAAGAAGGAGAGCATAGACTCTATGTTCCTTAACAACCACATTACAGGAAAGGTCCATAGTATATTTGGTTTACCAAGTTAAAGGTGACAAATAAATATATTTCAGGAATGTAACAAGGCTACATACAGCCACTTACCTAGGAAAAAAGTGAGAGGACTCCAGACAAGTTCAAAAACTCCAGGGATTTCCCATATCAAGATGACCAAAATAAAGCACATAAAAAATTTCAAAGCCATCACTGATTTTATCTCGTTATATTTATGGCCAATACCAAGGGCCCCGTACACCATGAGTGTGAACAGCGTGTGCATTGGGCAGATATAGTACAGCATGTAGTCATTGTTAAGAACAATACAACAGAAGGCCACAAAAAAGTTAAGCCTCCACATCATCTGCAGAGAGGAAACAATCTAAACTTAGACCCTGATAGAGAAAGTAAAACATGTGAAAGGTAAATTACCCAATTCAAAATTTGTGGTTTGCGGGGTACAGGAAAAAGAATTAATGCAAATTTAGACTCACCTGAGTAAATCGAGCAAGACTAAAATCCTTTCTGATGTAATAATAGGAGAAGTTTCCAAAACCAGTCATCCAGACATACGCAGCAATAAAAATTCGAATGGCATTGTACATCTCAGTTGCAGCAAAGTAATGATACATCAAAAATAGAACCTGACAGAAACATGATAAGAAAAGCATACGATATCAGAAACTTTGCGAGAGAGAATAGACTAGACAGTAGCCAATATGGGCAATATAATACCAGCTATAGACAATCAGTATCTACATAGGGAAAGCTAAACAACTGAAAGTGCAGAAAGAATCCTAACCTCCATGCATAAAACGAAAGTCATAAAATGCCTTGAGATAACTTATGAAGCATATAAACAAAAATACGCAAATATACAACAAAGACGTGTATGCATTTTTATTTGTCCTTCTGAGTGGAATGGAGAAGAATGCTATGAAAGAAGCATTTGCTTTAAAAAATTTCTCCTACCTATATCCTAAGCATTAACAAAATACAGGAATGCATTGTGAAAAAAAATCCTTGCCTGCATCCATCCTTTCCACTCTTCTGTCTGATGACGATTAAGATACAATATTGCTTTTCCAGAAAATGCTGACTTGTCATGGTGTTTCTTGAGAGAAGTCATTGCTGAAGCAATGACAAGAAGAATGTATAGGAAAAGGAAAAGATCACGATTGTAGCTCTGTTCAAGAGGGAAAAAAAGCCAACAAAACTAATTAGAATTAAGCATTTGAGAAACTCTATTTTAAATAAGAATTACACTATCTGTTAGGCATGAGATTGAAAAATATATCTCACAGAAAAAAGCAATAAATAATTGGGAAAGATATGCAGCAACGAAATCAACGAACTTAATGGAAATTAAGGCCTCATAATAATATAATTTTGCAGGAAATATTCTACAGTACTAATGTACTCCTTCCATCCCAAGATCTAAGTCAACTTTCAA